ACTCGATGGAAAGAGAAGAGTTTCATGGGCGTCATGGGCGTCGCAGTATACTTTGTTTTGTCCACGTTACTGTTCATGTTTATAAGAGACGATCACAATTTTCCATTAAGTGGACCATCAGCTTATTTGCCGTTCTAAGTCGCACAAAAAAGTATATTGTAGCAAGATAATGGACGCAGGTTTAATCGTTAATTGTCCACTGCTAAAAATATGCCACCCATATAGGCAGGTTTTTCTAGTAGTTGTCACATTTGGTAGGCAAGTTGGCAACCGCAGTTAGACTTTAGAGATGTCTTAAGAGATACGCTGCTGCCAATACCTCAACCATTAACTTTCTCTTAGTTGTCCCTTACGCCACCCATTCTATACCATTCTATACCGGGACCACACAGCAGTTGTTTAACTAGATGGCACATAATTTTGTGTTCTCCACTCAAATATACTCCATCTCAAATATCTACGTAACGCCTTGTTATTTATCAACGATGTTTTTGCCGTAAAAATGCACCCACGTATTTGTTACGAGTATATATATATATATATATATATATATATATATATATATATATATACGTAACGTATAGTCACCAGTTCCATATTTATATAAATTAGACGAACCAATAATTGTAATCGTTCTTAGAAATGTGAGATTTCTATATTTAGACAAAGTTAAATTTGATTCGTATTGCTTACCCATATCGACTTTCTGTCCAACAGCTGTACGAACTGTTCGCTGCGATTTGCGAGTTTCAAAGATTTTAGATTATCAAACTTTTTTCTTTGTACGCACTTCTGGTGATGACAGACAAATTGACAGGCCCATACAAATATATATATATATATATATAAATATATAGAAATGAAATAAAATATGAAAATTATATTTAACTATATTACACCAGTGAGGGATGATAGGTGAGGTTAAAAGGGCAGGTCAGTTAACCTATCGTGATGAATACACCTAGAATTCAGCACGATGGTTTCCAGGGGGAACCACGTGGAGGTCCACCTGATAGGGTATATTGCTAGCAATGGGACTGATAGTCCGCATTACTAACAATCCCGTTAACTGAGGGGTACCTATTATGGGCGACACAGTATACTCTGTCATGCCCGTAATACTTTATCAATAAATAGGCGACGGTTACCATTTTCTGGGGAGAAAGGAATTGTTAGCAATGGAGTTTAACAGCCTTATTGCTAGCAATATGTCTATGTCGACATCCACGTGGTTCCCCCTGGAAACCATCGTGAACAATTCTTGTTGAATTTGTCACGATGGGCTAACTGGCCTGCTTCATCCTTGCCTATCATCCTTCACTGGTGCCCCGCCGGTGTATACCGATAGCGCGGGTGGGGTTACCATTCCATTATGATCCATTAAAAGGTTACCATTTTCTGTCAGCTGGTCAAAAAGATATACGAATGATATAGAAATAACAAAGCAGACGGCTTTTGTACGAAGTTTCTCTCTGGTGGAATTTTTCCTTATTTTCGGTAACAAATCTTATATTATATTCAAATTACATCTGAAAGTAAGAAGACTAGCATATTTTGTGTCCAAATCTGCGACACCTATAAAATTTTCCGCTCCAATTTGCTGTTTGCCATAACGGCGGATCCCGTCCGCCGGCAGTAAGAAATTAAAATAACGCGGAATTCCGACGCCTGTTTGCCGAAGGAATTTTTATTACCCAAGGTATTTTTTAAGCGCTTTATTGAAACGGTCAAATCATGTGGACGGTTTGATTTATTATTTTAAATTTAAATACTAGGCAATGTTCGCGTAACCGAAATGAACACAATTGTGAAAAATACTAGAGGAAGACAAAAGTCGATTGCTTGGGTATCTCTGTCCCACTCGTGTTTCTACCGTGAAGCAGTTGTGTTTGCATAGCTGTGTTTCGGTTTGAAGGGTGGGATATGGCGTGAATTTACAGGGTACAGAGGAATAACACCTGAGTCCTCAGGAATGGCAACGCATGGGGGGTATCATGGGCGAAACAGTATACTCTGTTATGTTCATGGTACTGCTCATGTCTATAGGTGACGGTTACCACTTTCCATCAGGTGGGTCGTCAGCTTGTTTGCCATTCTAAGTTGTATAAAAAAAAAACTGTCTTACAAAAAAAACTGACTTCAGTTGCGACAAAATCAGTTATAAAACTTATACGTATTTTGATTTAAAAACAAAATTTTTGAATAGACTTTGATCAAATTCCTATGAGATCAATCTGTAAGTATACCCTTTCAGACAAAAAAAGAATTTTCCAAATCGCTTTAGAATTAACGGAGTTATGAGGTAACAAACGAACAAAAAAAAAAAAACTACTGAATTGTTAACCTCCTTCTTTTTGAAGTCGTTTGTAAATTGAATTCGATTTGACGCTTACTGTATCATATTTTGCATGATATCGAAACAAACATACAGACAAAAAAAATCTAAAAATTACACAGTACAGACATCGTTTAGATATAATATTATTTTAATACTGCAAGTAATCCTTATTTGCATACTAATACTAAAAATGTAAAAATAAGTTTGTTTGTTACATCTTAACGTCTTAATTATTGAACTAATCATTACAATTGGTTTCACATTGTGATAATTTCTTGTAATTGTTTTGTATCTATAATAAATTTTCATCTAAAATACTTCAGCCTTTCAAGACGAAGGTCTGGTCTTTACCCGTGCGTGTTGCCAGTGATGACTTATGGAACCGAAACATGACCTTACACGATTGCATAAAATTCAATTTACTCAGCGAGCTATGGAGAGGGCTATGCTCGGAGTCTCTTTGCGTGATAGAGTCCGAAACGAGGATATCCGAAGAATCAAAGTAGTCGACATATCCTGAAGGATAAGCAAGCTGAAGTGGCAATGGGCTCGTCACATAGCTCGAAGAACCGATAACCGATGACGAAGAAAGGTTCTTGAGTGACGACACCGTATGGGCAAACGCAGTGTAGGACCACTCCCCACTAGATGAAGTGACGACCTGAAATGCATTTCAGGGAGTCAGTGGACGCAGGTGGCTCAGGACCGTCCGTAATGGCAGTCTATGGGGGAAGCTTATGTCCAGCAGTGGACAGATAACGCATGGGCGGTATCATGGGCGAAACAGTATACTCTGTTATGTCCATGGTACTGCTCATGTCTATAGGCGACGGTTATCACTTTCCATCAGGTGGGCCGTCAGCTTTGATTGCCATTCTAAGTTGTATAAAAAAAAAAAAGATAATGGTTGAAATGATGTCAATAAGTTTACTATTGTAATCTTTTTGAGGAAACAATAAAAAGTATCTATTTGTCTATAAAATTCAGTGTATACATACTATACCGGATAGAAAAGAATTATTACTAATGGCTACATTTATACCCGATTAAAGAACATATTTTCGTGGCGCGGACGAAGTCGCGGGTAAAGGCTAGTATAATATATTTTGAACAGAAATATACACAAACGGCACTGAACCCTCCGCGTCAAGAGTAACGCAAATATTGCGAGAATATTCGTAAATATTTTTCGAAAACAAATCTCATTCCGAATATAATGGGCTACAATCAATATTATTACGTCGCTCAGCCTTTATTTATCTCCTTGTGTTTTGTAAAGATTTTGTCTGTGAAACTTAAAGAAATAAATTGGTTAGTACGCTGTCGTTATTAATACATATATAATATGAAATGTTATATACAATATAAACGTATATATATATATATATTATATATATATATATATATATATATATATATATATATATATTATATATATATATATATATATATTATATATATATATATATATATATATATATATATATATATATATATATATATATATATATAATTATATAAAATGTATTATTATTATATTAAAAAAAGTACTAATTAAATATTTTTATTGAGACCATTAAATAAAAATGTATAACACAAATATATATAATTAAATATACAAATAATTATAATTATATATATAATTTACGTTATGTTGATAAAAAGATTTGCTAAGATTCTCTTCTTTAATCATCATCATCGTCCTACCCTTATTCAAATTATTTGGCGTCGGCGTAATATGTTTTTTATCTATATTACAAAAAGATTTTGCTTATAGATTTACTATTGGCCGCCTGCCTGACGTCAACCCTCTTTGGGAATGCATTTGTTGGTGGTTCCCGCCACCTACGGTATGGAGGAAAAAAGGAAGGGAACGTTGGAAATGCGTAAAGGAAATTGGTAAATAAAAGGAATAAGATACTTATGTAGCAAAGGAAAGGGGGGATACTTCTTTTCTTTAATAAATATAAAAAAAATATACGGGAATATAAAATAATTTATTATATAAATTTTATATTGTAGTTCGAGAAAAAATAAAATTATTTTAATAAATATTAAAACAATATAAAATATTAAAATGTCTCATTAAAGAGAACCACGAAAAAAAGTTGCAAAGTTGCACGAGATCGTGTTACAACAGATTATATATTTATTTATCTATTTAATACTTTATTGTATACATTAGTTATAAGAATATGACAGAGGTAATCAAAAGTACAAAAGCGCGCTTAACTCTGATAGAGTATTCTTCCAGCAAAGCCAAAGTGAAAAGGAGCATAAATGTCAGCGGATACAGCAGTGTACACTTTTTAAACAGACAAAATTAAATTAGTTACATTATATTAATTTTTAATGGACTTAAAAAAGATGAATATATAGTTCTATTTGACCATATTTTTTTAAGTGTAACATGCGAACTTTGTTAATTCTAATTAAAATGAATACTTCTGTATTAGCAATTTGGTCATGATCGATGTAGCTTTTTATAGAACAAATTCTTATATTATTTTCATTTTTTTCCTAGAACACGAGAGATTAGTAACTTTTCCGCTGACTTCCTATAAGGATGTAGCACGTAGCTACCGCGTAGTATGTACAGGATTCCGAAAAGATCCGACAGAGGGCGATACTAGCCGACTACGTACAGTCTCAATTCGCCGCGCGTAGACGTCGTACGCGGCGTAGCATAGCCGTGGTCCTCGTAGCGTTACGCGTTCCGAGTAATATTGTGCGCGAAGTTACTAAAAAATATTCTGTGTGCACAGAATAAATTATTGTGTGTGGATTATTTTGTGCTACTACAATTATTGTGTGGATTTTGTGGTTGTGTCGTGTTACGTGGTTGGGATATTTTTGTAAGTCATTACATTTTAAACTTATTAAAACTTATTCTAAATTATTAGTCAGTACAATATAATACATTGCACTGTTGAACAAACTGGTTATAGTTTTATGCTTGTGTTATTATAATGAAGGTTATTTTAAAATAATAATAAATAAATTTAAAATAACTATAGATTTTAATAAATTCACATTATGTGAATTATTTATTATAAAATGTAGAAAGTTTTTTTTTTTTTGATAAATACTTGATTAAGTTTGACTTAAAACTATGAATTAAGAATTATATATAAAAATTGAAGTAGGTATTATAAAAAAAAAATATATGAAATATTCTATCCAATAATGTAAACTTTTAATACTTTATTTAGGATACAAATACGTGATTTAAATATAATAATAATTTTTAATAAATAAATATTTATAATAAGTAAAAATAAGTTTTAAAATTTTTACTGAAATTCGCATTTTGTCTTCTTTCCTTCTTAATTTAGTAACACTAATGACAATATAATTTTTTTTGGTTACTAATATTTTTTTTAATGGAAATGAAATAAATTAGTTATAATTAAATATGTATAAATAATTAATTACATAGTATAAAAAGAATGCAACATTAAAATAATGTTACAAACATTGGAAAGTTATATATATATTTTCAAATACTTAATTATTAATAGTAAAAATTATTTGCTTTTATATAATTCAATTCAATTCGGTTGCATTTTTTTACGTTCGTTGTGTCATAACTTCGTTAGTTATAAACCGATATGGAAAATTATTTTTTTTATCTTATAGATTGGTTTCATAGAAATGTTATCAAAATAGATTCTGTATTTAAGTTTTTAAATCAAAATAAGATAGATAGATAGATAATTTATTTGCATCACTTACAGCACACAAACTACAATAGACATAAATGCACAGTGAAAAGAATTTGTAACTGGTTTCATTTCTGGCCACAACCGAAGTCTGTTTTTTCCTTGAATAAAATTTTAAATTATAATAAATTAATATTTAAGTCAATCTATTAACGTTACAAATGAAAAGAATTGTGAATATATTTAGACTTTTTTTTTAGATAATTACGTGTTAATAGTGTAATTAACCCTTCTTTGCATGATTTTTTTTATTGTGAAATAAATCAAGGTCTATATAATTCATGTTTAAAATTAAAGGAAAAATGCTTAAAAAAATAAATTTAACAGCTATGATTTTTTTTCTGCAACCGACATTAAAAAGGTATCCAGACACGATCAACTTAAAGTGAACTTGGTCTTTTATATAATTTTTGAGCATTCAATGTTATGATGGAAATTTCCACTATTATGCAAAGAAGGGTTAATGGTGGTAATGACAGACAGTAGATGGTTTGATTTTTTATTAAATTTGTTACATAGATAGACCACATATATATTAACATATTTGATATTTTTATTCACTAATTTACTAATGTAGAGCAAGATTTTGCTAAGTTAGTATTAAATAAAGGTTACGTTAGGGAGGGATATGCGAATAAAATTATAGGGCACGGAATTATAATACTCTGCTCTGAGGAATGTTAGCCGATGTAGGTTCCATGGGCGTTATTCTGTATACTGTGATATCCATGGTGTTGATCATGTCTATATTTGATAGTTGTCACTTTCCATCAGGTTGACCCACAATTTGTTCACATTTACCAATAAATTATATAAGTAAAACCAGGAAAGTTATATAATAAATATAAATAATATGATATTAAATAAATATAAAACGCAATATCTGTGTTTTTTGCTAGTTGTGCTCAGCTGAAAAACCATTTCGAACTGGGCAATAGTTTTGTAAAAAAAAATACTATTAAATCATCATCATATCAGCCTATAACTGTCCACTGCTGAACATAAGTCTCCCCCTTGGGAGGTTTTGCCAGTAGTTGCCACGCTTGGCAGGCGGATTGGCAACCGCAGTTAGACATTAGATATGTTTAGGAAGGACGCTGCTGTCCATCCCTCGCCCTTCCTTAGTCGGCTTTTACGACACCCACGGGAAAGGAAGGTGCGGCCTATTCTATGCTGGAATAATAAACATATTTAATGTTTTTTTACTAATAATAACAATAATATATTTTAATAATAATAATTATTAAATAATTACTATTATTAAAATATAATAATTTTCAATATTTTATATATATAAATATAATATTAAATGAAAGGTAATTTGATCTGTATAAAATTACCTTTCATTTAATATTATATTGATATAATATTATGTACGCATCACGAATTAAATAATTAATAGAATATAAACAATTACTTAATGTCTGAATTTATAATATAATTAAATACATACAAATATAAATACTTTTTAATTTCACATAATTAATTTTAAGCACAGTTAATTAATTTAGTTAAAAATAATAACTGTCTTAATAATAAGTGTTATTGATTATTAAATTACATACATTTAGTTATATCTACTAGCCACCGAACTAGGTCGAGCCTGTATCGCAGTGGATAGTTTAATTAATTTTAAATTGTAGTTTTCTATATTTTTGTATATTTCTGCTGAATATAAAACGTACCTAATATACTCTATAATATAATATAATATAATAATGTATAACATTTATTATACATAATATTGTAGCTTTGCAAACGTAATACTATCTCTATGATTACTATTGAGTAAACGTTACATTCCCTTTAATATTTTCAAAAGTTTCAAGTTTTTCAACGAGCTATGGTGAAGGCTACGCTCGGAGTTTTTTTGCGTGAAATACGAAATGAGGATATCCGCAAAGAAACCAAAATAGTTGACAAAGCCCAAAGGATAAGCGAGCTGAAATGGCAATGGGCTGGTTACATAGCTTGAAGAACCGGCAACCAATAAGGAATAAAGATTGTTAAGTGGCGATCTTGTACAGGTAAACACAGTATAGAACGATCCTTCGCAGTGGACGCAGGTGGTTTGAGATCGTTCCTTATGGCGGTCTATGAGGGGGGCTTATGTTCAGCAGTGGGCAGATTATGGCCGATATGATGGATAATGTTATGATGAGGGATCCATCTCGCAGATAGACGTAAACAGTCGACTCATTTATGCTTCGGTCTACCGCGATGCCGGTTTCAAACGCTTGGCATCCAGAACGTGACTTATACAGTTATATAATTTATATAACGCTTGTAAACAAGTCTATTACAATAAACATGTTTTGAATTTCAATTTGAATTTATACTATAATATCATAGTCGTAATAATATAAACCCATTAATTGTTCCACGATTGCTATCTAATAAGAGGAAATCAAACTTTACACACATGAATTAGTACATAAAGTATCCTATGTACTAAGATAGGATATAACCTATCTGTGTATAAAATTTTATTCAAATCCGTTCAGTAGTTTATGAGTGAAAAAGTAACAAACATCCATCCATCCTCACAAACTTTCGCATTTATAATGTTGTAATAGGAAATAGGATAAAGCCTTTTATTAGTCTTCATGTTAACCCAACATATATATATATATATATATATATATATATATCTACCTAATACAGTTAGAAAGCATGTCGTTAGCGGGCAGCTAAAGTGCACAAGTGCTGTACGAATAACTACAAATACTAATCAATACATAAGCTACAAGTAAACAGTTAAATAAAATTTTAAACTTAAATAATAACAAATAATTTTTGTAACATCCACCGTAACGAATGTACTTTATCCCCTACAGTATCCCCCGGGAATTAAGTTCAAATAAGACTTACAACCACTTTACAACGATGTTCTCATATACAAGTAGGTTTTCTCTGCAAAAAAAAAAAAAAACAACAAAGATTTCAACTGTGACAAAATTGACCAGTAACCTCATTGATCTATTTTTAAATAAAACATATTGATGAGTGGCGAGATGTTTTCCAGACATAAAAGTTTTATTTTATTTCAATATTACATCTGGAATCAACAGCTTTTATCTAGAATAATTAAAAATATTTAATTTACACCATATATTAGCCAATTACAGATTCCCAATTTGTATACCAGACAATATTATGCTTATTTTTGGACGGTAGGTTCAATTAAATAGAGAAAAAAAATCTATGGAGATACTTATTTGAAACGTCGCATCGCTGGGGGGAAAGGGATTGTTAGTATTGGAGACTGAGAATCTCATAGCTAGCAATATACCCAACCAGGTCGACCTCCTCGCGGTTCTCCCTGGAAACTATCATGGTTAATTCCTGATGAATTCATCATGATTGACTAACTGGCCTGTTTTCATTCTCATTTCATTTCTATCACCCTTCACTGGTGCTCCGCCAGCGTATCCCGTTAGCGCAGGCGGGGTTACCATACCATTTTCACCCATCAAAAAAAAAACGTCGCGTCACTGGAAGTTCAGCAATAATTAGTGTAAAAGTGTATGTTGTTTGTGTGTGTAGTGTTACGTGAATGTGTACAAAGAATTATAAGTTTTAAAATATGTGAATTTAGAACATGGAATCATGTGTCTACATATGTAGATAGATCTTTTGATTCGCAACAATCAATCCTTATACCTTAGAACCAGAAACATCACGCACATTGCGGTTTCAAAGAAGCTTCCTACAGCAAATTGTAGGTATGAATATATAAATTTAGATAGAAAAAAAATTACCGAATCCGTTTATAACTGACTGAGTTACAAGGTAACAAACATAAAAAAACACAACCAATTTAAATGATTTCTAAAAGAAGTAGATTCTCAAGCTTTTTCATTTTGAAGTCGCTTGAAAAATCATAAATAATCAATTGTTTAAGGTTACAAATTTACTATTTTTTTAATAGTAAAAGTTTAATTTAAAAGTTTTGAATTACTAATGGAACCCACGAAAACTAGATGGTGGTTAAACTTTACCGCGCTGAATTTGAAAGGATTGTCCGCGCCCACACAAAAGTCTAAGTACCTTTGTCCAGGTATATAACGTTCTTAGACTCATATTTTAATAATAATATTATAAATTCTAAAATTTACTTGAAACTCCGGAGC